TTCTCTTCTCTTCTCTTTCTCCCTTCCTTCCCTTTCCCTACTATCCTTCCTTCTCCTTTCCTTTCTTTTCTTTCTATTCTTCCTTTTCTTCAAAGGAAAAAGCACCTCAGAACTTTAGGGAGTATCTCAAACGCATCACCCTCAAATATCCTGTATTTGAGGCAGCCTGCTGGTGTTCTGGGATCAGGGCTGTGCTGCAGGAACACGGGATCAGTGATGTGCAGTGGAAAAAAAAGGACCTTTGGAAGTCTGAGAGAGAGTTTTGTGTCATTTCTTTGCCTTTTGGGTCTCCCGCCCCACCTCTCGGGGATACACTGGGGGATGTTTCTGCCGTTTGAGCTCATGATCGCCTTTCCCTCTGATTTTGGGATGGGTCGGGCCCATCCCGGCGGATTCCCGGGATTCCCGATGGAGCCGGCAGGGGGCGCTGCCGCACACGGGAGCGGGACCTCGGGGAGTGTCCAAAGGGCTCCCAAAAAACAGGGACAGGGAGGGTTTGCACGGGCAGGCCGGGACAGGACAGGCGGGAATGGCTGCGAACTGGCACGGGAGAGACTCAGAGGAGGTAGCAGGGAGGAATTCTTTACTGTTCACTGGCACGGGCTGCCCCGGGAGCTGCCCCATCCCTGGGATTGTCCAAAGCCAGGTTGGACAGGGTTTGGAGCAACCTGGGATAGTGGAAGGCTTTTTTCAAGCATTGCAAGGGGCTGCCCAGGGAGGTGGGGGAGTCGCCATCCCTGGAGGTGTCCAAGGAAAGCCTGGATGTGGCACTCAGAGCTCTGGGCTGGGGGACAAGGTGGGCATCGGGCACAGGGTGGAGCTGATGATCCCGGAGGTCTTTTCCAACCTTAATGATTCCATCATTCTGTGCCCACCTCATCGCAGGGGAGTTGGACTAGATGACCTTTAAACGTCCCTTCCAACCCAAAGTCTTCTATAACTCTATAATTTTAGTGCAGCTACAGCTCTTCTGAACAAACCTGGCTCCAGGGGCTGGTCCCAGGTCACCCCAAAGCAGAGGCAGAGCTGGGACCTGGGGTCAGACCTGCAGACCTGGCCTACAGCCTCCCAGGCCCATCCCTCCCAAAAAATCCTCCCCCACGCTCCCCAGGGAGACTGTGCTGCCTCCCAGCACCAGAGATATTGTCACAGGGGTGAGCAATGTGCCTGTGGCACCTCAACAGCCACCACTGTTTGGAAATAAATTAATTATGCATGAGCTGGGGCCAGGAGAGTCACAACATTAGTTTCTAATTATTTCTTATTTGCTTTCTTAGAGGCTGAAAAAACATCCTTTGGAACAGAGGCACTGAGGTTTGAAAGGTGTCTTTGACCCGCTGGCAGTCCTGACACAGCCTTTTTAGAATAACTTTGACTTTATAAATAGAATTTGGGCTTGTCAGAGCTGCTTTTTGGGTGCAGGGGAGGGGCTGAAGGAAGCACAGGAGGGACTGGAGCTCAGCTCAGCTCCCTCCTTGTGCTGTAAAGCCAAAGTGCTGTAAGTTTTGTGCTGGTCATTTGTGGGGGAGTTAATTGTGCTGCAAGAAGGAGTGTTACACACTGAGTAAACAGCTCAGCCCACCTTTAATAAGCAGTTGCAGCTTCTCTCTCTTGCACTGGTGTGAGTGGACAGGTTGGCCCATCAAAGGGTTCCTTTCCATGGTGTGTTTCTGTGCCTGACAACAACCCCAGAGCCTGAACCTGCTGATCTGTTTGGGTGGAAAACAGGCCAGGAGGGAGCTGTGGGGCTGCAACGAAGGGAGGAAAACAGGATGTGCCTGGAAATGTGGGTGGGTAAAGCAGAGCTCTGGAAGAAACAGTTGTAGGACTGCTCAGGGGGTGGTAGTTTTACTAAAGGTTTTACTAAGGGTTTTACTAAAGGTAGAACTGCCTGACTTGATGCATGTGAGGTTCAGAAGAGCAGGCAGCACCCATGGGATGCAAGAACCTGGGAGCAGCTCCTTTTCTACACTGATCCTGAAGAAATCAGACCTCTCCCCACAGCTTGTGCCTGTTCTTGTAAAAGAACTATTTTAATAAAGTCAAATCAAAGGTTTTTGCACTTGCATGAGCCATTTAATCTGTCCCACTGGAAACAGAAGGATTGTTTGAAAGAGAGAAGAAGCACAACCTGGAATAATGTTGTAAAGCATCTTTATTAGTTCACTACAAGACTGGAAGTACAAAAGCTTCCAGGCAAAACACTGCCCAGCGAACGAGACACACAGGAAAAATGCTCAGGAGTTGCAAACACCCAGTGCTAAATAACAAGACTTTCAGCTGGGCAAGAAACCCTTCCTGGTGTCCTGTATTGCCTCACCATGCCTGAAACTTGCTCCCATCAGACAGGGAAGCTCCTCTCCAGGAGCAGCCAAGGGGACAGGGGGGGTGGGCTGGGGCGAGGCCGCGGCTCCCGCAGCCACCCTTGTGCGTGTGCAGGGTCCTGGGGGCAGCCCCTGCTCGTGGCACGAGGCTGCTGGGCCCCAGGGGTGCTCTGAGAAGGGGTTTTTTACTCCATGGGGGACTGTGTGTGATCCCATGTCAGAGGTGATGGGACCCAGGCTCGGGTACTCGCGGATGCTCGTGGCGCGGGCGCTGCGCTCGCCCGTCTCTAGCAGCTCACCCACCCCTCCAAAATGCACGCAGGCTTTGGAGTTAAAACCACCTCGATGCTCAAGTCTAACTCACAGGGAAGTTTGATTTTGCTGTCCAGGTGGTAAAACGTGCAGGAATATTCCTACAAATGTGCAAAGCTTCTCCTTCTCAGGTTACTGCTGTTGCAGTACTTATGTCTGGTTCTACTTGCCTGGAAGTACTTATTACTTCCAGATACTTCAAGGAGAAAAATGCCCTTAAAGTCCAGGTGGTTGTTAAAAAAAGGCACCATTCGATGTTTTTAATGCTTTTAAACAAAGAAAAGCCACTGCATTCACCCCTCCCCTTTTTCTAGCTCGTGAATGTTTTTACCTTACATTATCACTAATCATTGCTAACAATAAATCAAAGAACAGGTGACGAAAAATGGTGACTGCTTGCTCTGGAAATATAAACGGGAGGGGAAGGTTTAGTTTTGCTTTTCTAGGACCCCTCTCACTGGGGCCAAGTGCAGGGCAGCCCTGGGGTTTGTCCCCTGCCAAGGCTGCAGAGGCTGGTGTTGGCCACAGCCTAAATTTTGAGGCGCTGTCTGTGTGTTCTCAGGCTGCACAGCCTCGTGCTGCTCCCCTGCCTGGGGAGGTGACATTGTCCCCCCACTCTGCTCGACAGCAACGTCCAGAGGCCCCTGCACAGCTCAGGGCCCGTGGCAATCCAGGGTGGGGCGTGTGTTTTCCATGTGTCCACATCCCCTCCTTGCAGCAGCTTTTCCTCTAGCGCCGGGCAGGGCCCCCAGCTCCCCCAAACCATCTGCCAGGGGAGCGGCACCTTCAGAGCAGGTCCTGGTCCCTGCACTAACAGGGTAGCCTGTGGCCACACTGGCACTGGGACAGTTCACCAGCTCCCACAACCACGACACGAGTTAATAATGCAAGGGGGGAAAAGTGGAGGCGCGGGGAGAGCGTCCCAGGAGGTTACTTGGCAGCCTCTGCCTCCTCCAGCTCGTGCGGGTTCTTCCCGTCGTTCTGGATCAACCGGACGATGTGTGTCAGGTCCAGGCTGCGGGTGAGGATGTCCAGCAGCATTTCATCCTTCTGCACGCCCTCCATGAACTCTTCCAGGGAGAGCTCACCTGCGGGAGCACGTTCAGGAAGGGGCTGTCAGATCCTGCAGCCTCTCTGACGGTGTCTCAGCAGCCCCCCCAGGAGCTGTACAGACTCTAAGTTTGGGGGTTTAAATATGTGTGTTGTGCACCCCAAACCCCACCAAAAATCCCCACCCTGCCAGTAGGACAAGGGGCAGTTTGCAGCGTCCCCTTGGGCCAGCTGCAGCCCACAGAGGGGATGAGGAGCTCAACCTTCACGGAGAGCCACCCTCTGCCAGCTCTCCCCATATCCTGGTGTTTTGGGACGCCCAGCACCTGGAATTGCTCTGGCAGGTAAGGGGGAAGGTGGGAGCATTGGAATTGCTTAGGGAAGTTCCTCACCATCTCCATTTATATCGATTTTGTCGAACACCATGTCTGTGAACTCCTCAGCCGACATCGTTTCGTTGCATCGGTTGATGGCTCGAATGGCCTGGAGGGAAGGAAGGACACAAGGGAATTACTGAGTGCTGTGCAGGTTGTGTATCCATCAGCACAAGTGGCCAAGGGACCTGAGACACCAGACACCATGAGAGGCTAAACTATTTTGCAGGCAGTTAGGTCTGGAAAGCAATAAGTCTTGTCTAAAAAAACCTGGAGTTTAAAATCACTTCCAAAGGCAGCCAATGCTTTACAAGATTTAGTGGGCATGCTGGGATAAACCAGGAGCTGCTCACCTCTGAAAACCCTTAGATTAAATTCAAGTGCTTATCTCAGTCCAAGTTTCAGTGGATGGGGTTAAACAGCCAGGAGAAGACCAGGGGCTGCTGTGTGTCAGAGTGTGTAGATGCCATGGGAGGTGTGGGATGTTGGAGACGGGTCCACCAGGGAGGACTGGCAGAGGACAAGCAGCAGGTTTGGCCAGTGCCTACTAATTTGCCATGGAGTTAGCTGGGTTGGAATGTTCCTCTTACAACCTCTCTGTCTACCTGCCTGTAATGACCCCCTGTGACAGAAATGGAAAAGCTGAGCCCACTCACTTTGATGATGTTCAGCAGCTCTCCCCGGTCAATGCAGCCATTCCCATCCACATCATAGAGCTTGAAGTACCACCGCAGCTTCTGGTCCACCTTCCCTTTCAGGACCAGGCTCAGAGCTGCCACATATTCCATAAAATCTATGTAGCCATCCTGAAACCAGAATGTTAGAGGCCAAGATGAGATTAAAAGCAGAGAGTCAGGCAGTATGTGATTTTCCTGGTCACTTCTGGAGGTCCCCACTGGAACTGGTCCCCACTGGTGGCCTCCACCTTGAGACAGGGGCTTGTGGAGCACAGCAGAGGGCAGGGGGGTGTGGGTCCCCTGCATGCCCAGTGGTTAAAGCCAAGGCTCCATCTTAATCTGTGCAGAGCCATTAGAGAATTAGAGAATCACTGAAGTTAGAAAAGGCCTCCAAGATCATCAAATCCAGCCTCAGACCGTTATTTGTTGGGAAGGAATGAACTTGGTGGGTGTTCCTGGCTTGGGGACTAAGGAAGCCTCCTGTGCTCAGGGAATCTCTTTATGCAAAGCAGTGGTAATTCAGAGGTCAAAGAGGCACAGGTTTATGCAGATGAGTCCTGATGGATTACACAACCTCATCCTGCCTGCACACACCTACAGCTCTTTTCTGCTGCAAGGGGGTCTTGGATGAAAAAATCCCAGAGAGGAATAACATCGGGAGTCACCCCAGCATGGTGGTGACATCTGGGCCTAGATGCTGCTCTGTCCCTGTGCCATTTCTGTATTTGCTTCACGTTTGGTCACGTCAGAAGCACAAACACTTTTATCTTTGACTTTCCCCCGAGCTGTTTGCCCACCTCCAGCTCCTGCCATGGCATTAGGAGACCTTCAGCTGGGCCCACAGAGGGCTCGCTCCTAGGGCTGTAGATCACTGCAAAGCTGCTGGGATGAGCTTCCAGGCCACCAGCCTACCTCTAGACACTGCCCATGATGTTCACAGCTCCTGTAAGCTTTGCTGAAGTGCCTCCTGCCCACCACAGAGCATTGCCATGGCACTTGGAAGGAAAGTGGCACGTGGGACGTGGCACGTACCTCCCTGGAAGTGCTCAAAAGGCGCGTGGATGTGGCACCTGGGGATGTGGGTTAGTGGTGAACATGGAGGAGCTGGGTGAAGGGTTGCACTTGATAATCTTAGAGAGGTCTTTTCCAAGCCTTGTGATTCCATGATTCCGTACTACTGACCAGGGACAGTTCATTAGAGCATAAGCCAGGGTTTTGTCAATGAACAAAGCCACAGCTCCGCCGGCAGGTTCAGGAGGAGATCATCTGCTTTATCCCACTGCTGCAGGAGCCAGATTAGGTATAAATAGCTGCTAAGCCCCATTCCCAGTAGGATTTCCAGTGCATCAATTCCCTTTTCAGGCATGCACTGAAACGTGGGGCAGTGAGCAAGGTAAAGGCCAAGGCTCAACCAAACACCTGAAGGATTTGGGGCCTGATTTGCATTTTTTTCAATGGGATTAAGGCAATTAAAGCCTTTGAATTGCAATAAGACATATTCCTCATCTCACAGGAGGCACAATTTCAAATCATTTGCAAGTAAAGGAGGATGTTGTTTCCTCTCAGAGACTCAGCATCCAGCTGCTCTTCTGGCAGCACTCCCAAACATGTGCAGGTGCTCCAGGACTGCCCCGTTCTGGGGGTCCAGCACAGCAACAGCCCAAGGAGCAAAGCCTCCCTCCCCACAGGGAACAAAGGACCTGAGCTCCTTATCACAGGGGACAGAGCATATGGCAAAAAAAAATCAATGAAACGAATCCATTTATTATTTAGAGCAATGCAAAACAGACCCGATCTGTTCTGTAAACTGTGGCTCGTGGCTTGGGAACTCGCTGTCTCTGCATGAATGCAGCCCTTGTTCTCATACCACTTGTTCCTTACTGTCACAACACTTGATACTTAAGGCTTAAAGGGCACTTCATTTTAAAGGGATCACGGCCTGCCAGATAAAACCCCACTGTTTTAATCACTTAAAACCAAAAGGAAAATATCAGCTCTGGGAGAAGTCTGTTTTCTCGCAGAACAGGCAGCGGGTGAAGGGTTTTTTTCCTGGCATTTTTCACCTCCCATAACTGATTTTGCAATTCATGAGGCCACAGAAAATCAGGCTGTGCATACTCGGGACATTTTCAATATCACACACACCCAAACACACCGCGGGGGATCACAGGGAGCAGAGCACAGCCCATCCCAGCGCAGCTGAGCGGGGAGGACAATATTTACCTTATTGAAGTCAAACGTCTCAAACATTTGCTCAACGTATTTGTTCGCTGAAGGACTCAGGTTTTTCAAGCCAAAAAACTGTTTGAACTCGTAGAGGGTGAGCTGGCCAGAAGGACACTCTGTCATGAACTTCTTATACCACTGGTGGCACTCGGTGGTGCTGAGCTCCTCCACGGTTTTCCCGTCCATGTTCCCCATCTCCACACCAAGCGCTGGTGGCTTTGCAGCCAAAAAAAAAAACCAGAGGTTTTGTGAAGCCTGAGAATAAAATTTCTCAAAATTCTGCTTCTTGCCTTCAAAGTTCAGATGCTCCCAGCACAGCAGGGGTCACAGTGTCAGGGAGAACGAGTTGCCTGGTGTGAGGGCTGTACCAATTCCGTGTTGGTGGTGGATGCAGAAGACGCGTCCTCCCGGGAAAACTCAAAAGCACAAAACCCTCTTTGGGCAAGAGGGTGACATTTAAGTACCCAGCAAATCCCTGCCCAGCCAATGAGGCTCAGGGGGGTGACGGGCTCCTGCCAGGCATTAAGAGTTCAGGGTTAAAATAGAAAAGAGGTAAAATGGGGAAGTCTTGCAGATTACAGGCCCAGCAGGAGATTAGGAGGTGGAATTTTCTCCTTGATGATCTAATCTCTTAATCCACTTCATTTATCATTCGGGGGGCGGGGGGGGGGGGGCGTCACATGAAAAATAAGTTTTACACCAAAATCAAAGTAAGAAGAAAGAGAGAAAACCACTCAGAATTCTCTGTGCTGTTACTGCCTTTTTGGTTTCCCTTCAGGTTGATCTGTCAGAAGATTCCAAACAGGGCTCTAGAGCCTGAAATTCAGGGAGGGGGAAGTACCACGTGAGCTCCTAGAAGAGATGCTTCTGAGGGTAAATTTGGTATGCTGAGACAAATATAGAAACATAATTGCTTTAAATGGTAAAGCTTTAAGTGCTTTCATTGCCAGCACCAGGAAGGTGAAGGTGCCTCTCCCCCCCCCCCCAGCTACAGAGTCCCAGTGTTCAGTCTCCCTGGTCCTGATAGTTGGGTGTTTTCTCCTCAGAATTGTCCCACACTCTGCTCACCCTGGGAGTGTGTCCTGGTTGGTGCATTATCAGAACTTGGCTGACACCAGTGGAGTTAAATGCAGCATCAGTTTTCATTTGTGATGAATTACCATGAAAAATTCTCTGTGTAAATATGAGTTAAAACAACCCAGAGGAGAAGGACGGGGGGGGATAAAATACATCCCCAGAACACATCATGAGCCAAATCCTCCACTAGGATGTGACTGCTGGGTCTCTGCCCACAGGGAGTTTATCCCATAACACACATTTTTTATGTCTAGCAAGTTTAAAGACTTATCTGATGACCAAAAGAGCCCAACTCTTGCGTGGTTCAGAGCTCAGCGTTGCGTACGTGTGGAAGCAAAGCAGGAATAACTCTGCTAAAACAGGCAGGATTACACAAGAGTAAAACAGTTATGAAAAGGGAATTAGGCTGAGGAAGATAATTGGATGTGCTAATTCTGCACTCACCGCCAGGTCCCCATCGTGCAAGAGGAACCTGGGCTCTGATCCAACACCACAGGGGGCATGGCTGGAATAGCCCTGGAGCACAGAGAGGGGCTGCAGGATTGAGGTGTTCAGCAGCAGCAGGAATGTTGTGCATTAAAAGTGGATACAGGCTCACCAAGTGTTTCAAGAAGCACTTGATGGTGGTGTGTCTGCTTCTCTAGAGCGGGCAGTGCAAAAGCTGAACTGCTTTTGCTGCCTTCTGGAATGTGTGCCACAAACAGGACGTGCTTTTCCAGTCACTGAGAACACCACTTTGCCTGAGTCTGGGAAAGCTGAGTGAAAGAAAATGGCCTTTCAAAGAAGGAGCAGAATTTAGACTCAGACAGAGGAGCTGGTGAAATGAGAAGTTGGCTTCAAGCTGAGAGAGCTGGGAAGAGAAGGTTGTGTGGAGGCAGAGGAGCCTTCCAGTGTCTGAAGGGGCTGCAAGGAAGCTGGAGAGGGACTGTTCATCAGGAACTGGAGTGACAGGACAGGGACTAGTGGGTTCAAACTGAAAGAGGGAAAATTTATGTCAGATATTAGAAAGAAACTCTTCCCTGTGAGGGGGTGGTGAGGTCCTGGCACAGGCTGCCCAGAGAAGCTGTGGCTGCCCCATCCCTGGAAGTGTCCAAGGCCAGGTTGGACGGGGCTTGGAGCCACCTGGGCTACTGGAAGGTGCCCCTGCACATGGCAAGGGGTGAAACTAGATTGGCTTTAAGGTCCCTTCCAAACCAAACCATTCTGTGACTCTAGAAAACCTTCCCAGGTTTTGCAGCCTGTGCTGGGGCCGGGCTGCTGCAGACGAGCCTGGCTGGGTGGCCACTCAGTCAGTGCCCTGTGCTGCTGACACCCAGTGCCTCTGCACGAGCAGCTGCCAGTAAACGACAGGACAAGTTGGACCGGGTTTTTAGAGCAAAATCCACACTGCATATTTCTCTGGGGAGCAGTGACACAGCCTCAGCACCCACCCCTTGGCTCACGTGTTCACTGCTTGTCATAACTCAGACACCAATGGAAAACTGAAGTCACACCGGTTGCTGGTTTCATTGTTTGGGCTTTATTGCTTGGGCTTTATTGTTTGAGCTTTACTGCTTGGGCTTTATTACTTGGGCTGTGCTTGGGCTTTATTACTTGGGCTTTATTGTTTGGGCTTCCCTGGTCCCAGCTAGAGTTTTTTGCTATGGAAGGGTCTCCATTTGCGAACGTCGGCAGGTTCCAGGTCCGTTTTTATCTTGCCATGGGTGTTGTCCTCTCGGAACTGGTACCCACAGTAGGGCCTCTGCACGGTGTAGAAGGGGCAGTACGAGTTGGAGAGTGTCCGTCGGTAGAAGACAAAGTTGAAGGAGCTGAGGGGACGTCCCCCAGTGTGGACAACAACCGGAACGAAGCGACTGGCCAAAGGCTGGTCCTGCTGCTGGTGTGCTGCAGAGGGCTTGTTTTTTGGGCTGGGCTGTGTGCTGGAGAGCTCCTGCTTTGCTTTGGTCTTCTCCATTCCCTTGGGTCTCGTGTGGTCTTTGCCGGGGGCTTCTGGTGTTTCAGCCACCTGTGGCTGAGCCCTGAAGATTCCTGCTTATCCTCTGGGGCACCTGAAGCTTTGCAGAAACATCCTCCCTGTGGAGCAAAAGAGCCAGACAAAGGCATTGCAATATTGCCCCCATGCTTTGCCATCCTCATCAGTGCTTAAGGCCCCAGTGCAAGAGTTGTGAAGTGGTGGCCAAAACCAGCAAGTGAAACAAACAAGGAGGGCTTTTTACCTTACAGTGTAAATGATGAGAAGTCAAGTATTTACATTTCTTTAGCTAAAAATCTAAGCTGGTGCTGCATAAAGAGAAAGGGAGTTAAAAATCCTGTGATGTTCTGGAAATATAAAAGCAAATTACTGGAAATAAATTCTGAGGGGACGCACATGATGAGACAGGAAGGACTTGATTCTCTTGACTGGCATTTCAGCTGGTAATTTGTAACTGTGCAGGGCGAATATAAGGTGCTTCACAGTTTCTGATGTTCCTGCTCTCAGTCTGACCTGGCTCACCCCTTCATCACTTTTAGGGGACACTGTTTTCCAGCAGAGCCCCAGTCCCAGATCAGAGCCTCAGCTGCTGTAAACGACAGCAGCACACACTCCTTGGAAAGCCTTCACCAAACCCCAGCCACGGCAAACGAGGCAGGAAAACGATTCAACACAATCTGACCCACCAGGTAACGGGACACAGCAGTGATGGCAGAAACCTGACACTGCCCTTCAGAGCCTGAGCATCAGCTCAGCAGCTCCGGGGGCCTCTGCAGGGACCTCCCACCACCCTGTGCCTCGCCCTGCTGGGTGAAGGGCTCTTGCTGAACCTTTATGTGGGTTTTCCCCTCTGAAACATGAAGGCACAGCACGGGGGACAAAGACAGCACAAACAGCCTGTTTTGCCCAAGCATTTGTAAGAACCCTTTGCAGAGGAGGGGGGGTGGGTGTGCCCCAAGACACACATGGGGCTGAGTTGTGACCCACTGCTGCTCCACAAGGCTGTGCTTGACTGCCAGGATATTTCTGCTGTTACCTAAGCATGACTCAGTTGTCTTGCTTTCATTGACGACACCTCTGTGCGAATGGAAACTGGCTCTTCCCTCAGCAATTAGCCACTTTACTCCTGGCTGTTCTAAATAAACACTCTGCTTTCTGCTTATTTTTAACCTTGTAAAGAGGTTTCCCGGTTTCCGTGACGTACTCGGTGCTCTATTTCCGTTCCCTGGCTCCTAAACCTATTAGCAGGGGAATGCCCACAACTCTGCAGATTGTTTAGGAATCTCCTTCAAGTCTTAGAGGGGAATCACCAGACCCCTACAGGTTCACCACCTCTTCTTGTCATTCCTTTCTCCAGGGTCATTCATTTCTCCAGCACCAGCTCCAGCTCAGGACACGGGTTATTTCAGCAGTTGCTGTCACAAAAGGAAACCTCAGTCCATTTTTTTTCCCCAGGGGATAAAATAATGGGATTTTAACTGCCGAAGAGCAGATTTTGTAGCACTGCAGTCATTTCAGTGTGGTTTGTGTACCCCTGCTCTGAACACACTTAGATTTGTTCAGCAATGATTTTATATTCACACACATGCACGCTGATAGCTCGTGGACATTCTCTCTTGGGAAGGGACAAGTACACACACGACTGTGCTGCTGCTGCTGCACCCACCCAGTGGGGAGCACTAATGTCATTAATCCCGTGTACTTGGGGTGTGGAGGGGAGGCTGTAGCTACTGTGACAACCCAATTGCTAAGTCATGTAGATGCCTTCAAGATGGGCAAGCCTGGTTGGGCGATGGAGACCTGACAGTCATTTCCAGTGACGGGCAGATACCGAGCCTGGGAGTGCTGAGCTTTGGGCTTTGCTCTTCTGGTGGGGCTCATCTGCCCTGGAGGTTCCTGCTTATCCTCTGAGGCACCTGAAGCTTTGCAGAAACATCCTCCCTGCCCATGTGAATGCACCTGCTTACGTGATCACTGCCTTGGAGGGGAAGCACCATCTTAATGCCCACAGCACTATTTATGGCACCGCCAGCGCTCCGTGCCTGAATGAAGAGTCCCACGTAATCCTGTTGCGCCCACTCATACATTTAATCCCTCCCAAACTGTCTGTTGTCTATCAAAGAAAATCCCACAGGAGGGCTCACAGGGAGAAGGTTGGTTCAGCAACCAAGGAAACTCGGAGGGCTCAGCCCTGCAGGCGAAGCGTTCCCTGGGCGGCTGCCGGAGCCCTGCCTGGATGCCAGCACTGCCTGTCTCCTGCAGTTCCTCTCCTGTCCCCCTGGAGCCACCCCAGGAGCCACCCCAGGAGCCATCCCAGGACTGTGACGTGCGGTTTGCTCTGAGCTCTCAGCCCCACGGGGGCAAAGCCGTCTGACGGCAGCAGCGGGATTTGCGCAGCAGGGAAGGGATGAGGCACCACAATGACATCAGCGGGACCTTTTCGCCCTGGTCACCCTCAGGGCAAGGACCTCCCAGACCCCTGCCCTCAGGATGGGGACATGGTGAGTGGGTGTCTCTCCTGCCCAGCTCTGAGCCTGGAGCACCCACCTGTGAGGTTCTCTCCCCGGTGGGGACCCCGGAATGTGGGGCTGTCTGGGGGGGGAGGCAGGAGGCAGCACTGGCAGGGTGGGCAGTGCTGGTTGCCAGGGCTGTCAGGGCCATTGTGACCACAGGGGCCATTGTGACCACGGGGACCATTGTGCCCACAGAGGTGTCACCAGGGTGGTGGATGTCACAGGGGTGCCCAGGTTGAGCAGGGCTGCTCGGGCAGAGGGTGCAGAGGAGGGGCTCAGCCACGGGGATTAGGATTTACACCCAGTGGGAACCACCCAGTCAGAGCACAGGATGCCCTGCTGGCCCTGCCACCCCCACTGAAACGTGGCCCTGGCAGCAGGGACCCCCTGCCCCCATTGACAGAAGTTGGTTCTCTTTCCACAGGTGCTGCTCTGCAGCTACACATGAGAGTTTCTCTTCCCATCCCTCCCTCCCTCCTCCAGGTCCCTCTGGAGCCACACTCGCTGCACAATCCCTTCGCCCACCTGCGAGTGTGGCAGGGAACGATCCACATCTGCAGCTCCTCACCCTTGATGCAAAAGCAGATTGTTCTGGGGTGTTTACCCGTGTTAGGATCAAAGGCAGCCTCACACCACGGCGTGTTACATCAGAGCAGTGCTCACATGGCCATTTCTCTGCTATAAAATCTGCTGGAGATCTTCCAAGCGCTTTCCTGAGCTTCGTGCCCAGCCCAGCCCACCAGTCCCTTTAGCTGTGTGGCCTCAGTCACTGAGTGGCAGTTGTCCTTCCTTAAAAATACAACCAAACTGGGCAACTTTCCTATGTGAAGCCTGCACTTCACAGAAGTCCCCCTGCCCAGCAGCACACCCAGCACCCTTTGTGCTGGTCCAGGGCTCTTTTCTGGACTTCTGAGGGGAGGTCTGTGCTCTTCTGGGAGGTGGAAGGCAAAGAACAAACACCTTTCATCTGGAACAAATAAATGGGAGTGTGCACATGAACCCTGGCAGAATTGTTTAGCAGCTGGTGTTCCCTGGGATAATAAATTCACCTCAAAACACACATCCCTTCATGTTGTGAGGGTGATTTTTTCCTACGCTCACCACCCAGGGTGAGGCACAGGCATCGTTGGCGGGGTGGCACGGGCAGGGTTCTGGCATCCCCCCACCCCTGGGGCTCAGGAACACCTCGGAGCAGTGTCAGGGAGCTGAATCACACCTTCCTGCTCCCACAGAGCACCTCTGCAGCCCTGCAGACACTTTGAAGTCTCTTTGCTCTAATGAGACTTTGTGGGACACCTTTGTGCACGAGATGAGGCTTTTTCATTCCACGAAATTTTATTGGCTTCGCTTCTTCAAACAGTTCCTCTTCTCCTTCCCCTTTTCCATGACTGTGTCTCTGTATTTCCTGTTTGATTTGCTCAGTTGAGGCCTGTGGATATCAGTGAGCACTTATGCCTTGCCTACTTGCAGAGATATCACATCCTTTGTCTTTCCAGCAGTGGGCGGGTCCCTCATTTCACCTGATTCCTGCTTTTGGGACGTGCCAGTGAATTTTCTGAAAATGCCAGAGGTTGGATCCAACGACCTCAGAGGTCTTTTCCAACCTAATTGATTCTGTGACTCTGTCTGGAGCTCAGCAGGATCAGTTCCCTCAAGGAGCTGGTTCCAGCACTGCCATTTCCCAGTTTCCATCCTATCACCCCTCTTCCCTGCAGGCAGGGATAGGAACACTATCCCTTTTCCTAAAACGGGTCCCTGTGGTGTGTCCCAGGGCAGGTGTTTGAGGAGAGTTTCCCTGCCCTGTCTCACACAGAGAGAGCAGTTAAGATAACTGTCACAAAGGGTGCCAGTCCCACTAATTGCAGGCCTCTTGCTCGGCACAAAGCCACCCCTTCGGCGTCACCTGCCGCTCCTCCAGCGGATTTTGGGAGCAGCAGGAGCAGGCTGACCCCTCCCAGGAAGATCAGTGTGACCCCCTCGATGGAGCTGCACATCTGCAGCCCAGGTTAAATTCCCTGGAAAATCCCCTAAATTATTATAGCCCCTGTACCACAAGCACAGCATTGAATTCTAACATTTTAACTCTCCTTTTCCTTCTCCATTTGCCATTCACGTTAATTCATTTAATATTTTAAGTGCTGCCTGGCAATTTGTGCCATGATTTTCCCTTTGTGCCAGGATTTTCCTTTTAGAATATCACAACAGTGCTGATTTTTTGCTGTTCATGGGGGATTTAATATGTTGCCCTTATTTGTACTTTAAGGCAAAAAAAAAAAAAGATGCTTTTCACAAGAAAAGTGTAATTCTAAAGTGATTAAATAAATTATATTTATCACTGAAAAAAAATAAATATATGTCATTTTGACTCTAAAATGTGGTGGAAGTAGAAATAGATACAAGATGACCTGAGCCTGAAGCTGGGAGCTGTATTTCAGAGTTAATGTTTCCACAGCTATTTTGGGTTTAAAGTTCTCCAGAATCCCCTGCATTTGTTAATAGCCAGTGTTACTCATTAACTCTCGATTTTTGCTTGCCTGACTCAAAAAATCATGAGCAATGCTAGAAATTTGCTTTTGTACCTGAAACAAGAAATGATTTGGGGGTCAAGTCCCATTGCCTTGAAGCTTTTGCATCGAAACCACCCAAACCCAAAGAACACTCGGCTCACACGGGGTGCTCCTGGGGCTGCACAGTCCCACAGAAGCCAGGAGAGATGAGCAGAGGGGCTCTGAAATGCTTCCTAAACACTCAGCTCCCTAAATACTCAGCACTAATTTGCTCCCTGTCATACCCAGGGCAGAGGGAAAGGATTACCTGGCAGCTTTCCCTGACTCTGATGATAATTCCATTTATTTCTGACACCTGCAGATCTCAGGGACTCCAGGTCCAGTGCACTGCACGTGGGGGGTGTGGAAAGGCCTGGAGGGAGACCCCAGCCCATGGGACAGGTCTCAGCTGCAGGTGAATAGGCAGAGAAACAGGAGAGAGTGAGAGAAAGGTCAAACCCCTCCAGAGTTAGGACTGTGGGAACGGCTGGAGCTGTGTCAGGGAGGGTTAGGTTGGATCTCAGGGAAAGGTTCTTCCCTCAGAGGTGGTTGGGCACTGAACAGGCTCCCCAGGGCAGTGGTCACAGCACCAAGGCTGCCAGAGCTCCAGGAGTGTTTGGACAACATTCTCAGGCACAGGGTGGGATTTTGGGGTGTCCTGTGCAGGGCCAGGAGCTGGACTGGATGATCCTTGCGTGTCCCTTCCGGCTCAGGATATTTTATGGTTCTGTTATTCCTTTCCCTGCTGCCTGTTGCAAACACGTGGGTAATGAGCATTTACTGCAGCCAAGGTCCTTTTCCTGCGATGTTAAATGTCTGGTTTCCTACAGGATGTGTCCCCAGGAATATGGCTCTCAGGCACACGGTGGGATTTTGGGGCTGTCCCATGCAGGCGCAGGAGCTGGACTTCGATGATCCTTGTGCGTCCCCTTCCAACTCAGGTTATTCCACGGCTCTCAAACCCAACTGCCCGGCGTGTGACTGATTGGAAAACACTCCAGGGGCACCTGGCGAGGGCGGGTCCGTGGGTGGGACCATCCCCGCCCCTCCCGCCGCCGCTGTGGCCCCGCTCCCGTCCCGGCTCGGCGCGGGGATGCCCGGCTGGGAGCGCCCGGCTCCGCCAGGATGAAGAAGCACCACCACCACTCTGTGCAGGGCACCTTCAGCCGCCTCTTCGGGAAGCGCCACTCCAGCCCCACCGCCACGTCCCTGTTCGCCACCAACCCGCCCTGGATCTTCACGCAGGAGGTGACCTCGGACAGCGCGGGTGGCACCGGTCAGTGTCCCCAAACCCGCCCGCCCCGGGGGCTCGGGGGGCTGTGCCGTGCGCGGCCAAGGGGTGGTGCGGGCCGGGAACGGGTGGGAAAAGGGTGGGATGGGGACGGGGAGCGGCGGCAGCTCATCCACCGCCCCGTTGGGAAGCTCCGCGACGCGCTCGGCGGGCCCGGGATGCGCAAACCAGGAGGGTCCGGCCCGGCGGGCTCGCTGCTCTCCGGGAGGTTAAACCCGACTAAACCAGGCTGCGAAGTCGTTGTGAATCCATCTGATTGCTTCCCCGTCGCTCTTTCCCACGCCATGTTTGATCCGCGCCTTCCCAGCTTTTAGTTATTTACTCGTAAACCTGTTTTCTCGCAGCGCTGAGGGTTGCATATTCCTCGGGATTTATTTGTGTTTCTTTGTGGTTTTAATTGCAATACGGTGCCCTGGAGGCTCATGGAGGAGGGAGCCAAATTAATGGTAATGGAGCCAGGTAGATAGAAGATAGCAGTTTGTGGATGGAGTTTGGTGGCTGTAAGAGCCCAACAAAGTCTTCCAAGATTAAAAAAAAAAAAAGTGGAAGCGCTGCCTGCTGAGCTGTGCAGGGTGAAGTATTGTCTGTGAAAGCAACTGCAAGGTGGTTACACCCCAAAGGCCAGGCTGCTGAAACCAAGATAAAATGAAAATGTGACAGGGAGTTTCGTGCAGCTCTGCAACGCAGAAGGAAAATTGCTGATTTCTAGCTGTCGTAAATCTGAGGAGGATTCCAGCTTCTCTCTGATGTGGTTTGGATTTAAAAAAAAAAAAAAAAAAAGAAAGAAAGAAAGTTGCTGTGTCTGCTTGTTACAAGCCTGCTTTCCGTGGCTGCAGTTCTACAGTACAAAAGCATTCCGTTCAGGTGTGGGTCAGATTGCAAAGGAAAAGCTGGGAGTGCTGAAATCTGAGCCTAAATAGGAGCTGTTGAATCAATCCTGAGCATCCTCGTGGTGCTTCTGTCCTTAATTTAGTTTGTGGAGGGTGGTGGGACACCCCAAGGCTGGGTGACCACGTTTGGAGTGGTGTGAGGAATGGTGAGCTCACAGCTCAGTCCAAGGAGCAGGTTTTATTGCACCTGAGTATCCACAGCTCCACAGTCCTTCCTGGGGAAGCCCCATCCCTGGCCCTGTTTCTGGAATATTTCCTGCATAGCTTCATGCCACCACCACTGCTGCTGCTGCCAAGAGGAGTCCACTGCTCCTGCTAATCCCCACCTTAGTTTCTCATACAAAGTAAACACAAGTTGAGCAATGTGGAATGGGTGTAGGTTTGCATGTCCCTGACTCAGAGATTCCTGAATATAGTGACTGA